TTTTTGCTGAGTCATTTGAGTGTAAGTTGTAGACTCCATGACACTTTACCTCTAAAGACATCAGCATTCAAAACTTGCATTTTAAAAAACATACCCACTCACCATGTCGAGTTCTAAGTCAGACACATCTGAAAGGTGTAAAAATAGTTAAGAGTTTCTTAAACTTGAACATACATTTAAACCACCTGGGGAGCTTCTTAATGAATCGCAGATCGCAGGCCTAGGTCTGACTGGAGACAGGAATTTGTACTTTTCTAACAGAGCACTCACAAAATCCTAACACAGGTGTTTATGAGACAATCTAAAGATCATTTCTTTAGAATGTTTTCTTATATGTTTGCTCAATTTAATCTTCTGAAAATTTGTAACACTGGGGTGTAACTACATTGTGGAAGAAACAGGAGTCTGCATATATTTGGTACTTGGGCTTAACAATTTTAAGCACCAGAAACTAGAAAGAAGAGATATGATGTCTAAATGAGTTTCATTTAGCTATGATCATCATAGGCGCTGTGATTCCAATGAGCAACCTGCGAGATGAATCCTGCCAGGGTTAATGCACTGATGCAAAATAGACAGGTTGTTTTTTCTGTGGAGGGATCTGGCCTTGTGTGTAAATATAGACACTTGCCATACACAAACTTGGAAATCTGGTTGGAAAGCAAGAGTTGACATGACAGAAGCCATCCTACTTTTAAAATAAAAAACAAAACTGTTTACAGAATTGTCCACTTAGCATTCATTATTTTGGCCTTGGAGAGGTTGTAGGTCATTCATTTAATGAGGATTTGTTGAGCCCAGATGTTAGGCTAGAGCATTGATCAAATCAGACAAAACACCTGATTTTAAACTTCATAAAAATCCAGCTCTAATGATGGAGATGGACAATACATGATACACAAATACGTATGTAATGAAGAAAAGTAAAGCAGTTATAACGGGATGGAGAACGACATGGAAAGAAGTGAGGGGGCCAGAAAAGACCTCTCTGAAAAAGTGACACAGGAACAGAGTGGTGAAATGACACAAAGAAACAAACTATGCAGATGTTTCCAGGCAGAGGGCACAGCAGGTGCCACGGCTCTGAGGCAGGAATGTGTTGGATGCAATATGATGAGGAACAGTGACGGCAAAGTACGATGGGACGTTAAAGGGGTAAAAGATGCAGCTGGAGAGGTGGCCAGAGGGCAGACCATGCAAGGCATTGTGGGTGGTGGGAGGGCCTGAATTTATTCTAAGAGTTTTGGGAAGCCTTCCTCTTTCTTTCCTTCCTTCCTTCCTTCCTTCCTTCCTTCCTTCCTTCCTTCCTTCCTTCCTTCCTTCCTTCCTT